CAGCAGGTAGATGCTATCATGTCACACTGCTCAGGGATTGGTTTGGCATTTCAATTACATTTTCTTTCATAATTTTCCTTTGGCTGTTTTCATGTTATTCAACTCTGCATGTATTCAGAATTTTGCCAGTGCAATTCCTTTTGGGAAGTAACAATTATAACACTGATTAAATTTTTTAATTGATTACTTGCTATATGCTTATTCTACCAAATGCATTTTCCATATAATTCTTCATTTTGTTTTCATAATTATCCTGAGAAATAAATAATCATCTCAATTTTACATTTATGAGGAAAATGAAGCTTGAGACTCAGAGAACTTAAATGACCTGATCAAGTTCACACAGCTGGTGATTGGTAGAGCAGGAGTTGAGACCCTGACCTTCAGACTGTGCCATCCTCTCTCCCCACAGTCTGGGCTAGGTAATGAATGAGCAGTGAGTTTAGTTAGATCAGGTTTTATCTCTAGTTTCTTAAGCACCTTGTATTTTCTCATTTTTTCCCCACCCTTCCCTGGAAGAGGTCAGCCTTCCCTGGAAGGCTGAATTTTAAGGGCCTGAAGGCTCCTGGCCTCAGGCTGTGTGGTTATTTGTGTTGGTTAAGAATATTAAAATCAAATTTGTATTACAACTCAGAGTTGGAATCCTTTTAGTTGTGTAACCTTGGCCAAAGTTATACCACTTCACTCAGTCTTAGTTTGCATGTATAAACTCAGGAATAATGAGTGTACTCACGTTGGTACAGTTGATGTGAAGATTCTATGAGGGCTTACAGAGCAAAGAAATTAGAGCAAAACTTGGCATTATGGATAATCATTTGTTTATCAGTACTTACCATAATTATCACATGGAGTTAGGTAGTGTTGAATTTGAGTCCTGTTTCTGTTACTTGTTAGATCTGGAGGTAGGAGCAAGAAACTTACTTTCAACTCAATTTTTAAACTTTTCTATTTTTATTTTATTTTATTTTTGTATTTAGGACAGGGTGTACAGGGTCTCACTGAGTAGATCAGACTCATAGTGATCCTCCTGTTTACAGCCTCCCAAGTGCTGGGATTACAGGCATGTCCCACCATACCCAGTCTCAATCACCTTCTCAGCTTACCCCGGGGTGAAGCCGGCATGGCAGATAGGGGGATCGAACTTCTGGCCCCTGCATCTGCCTAAGTCTATTTTTATTTTAAAGAGAAAAAATAAAATGAAATTTCAAAACAAGGTAATAGAAGGGTAAACATGCATATTGTTGTCTTTAAATTAGTTATTCAGAATACAAGAGTGAAGAAATGCATCTTTTCCCCCACAGCCCTGACAGCATTTTTTATTGGTTGATTTGTTGATAATAGCCGTTGTTTCTAGGATGAGATGAAATCTAGCCATTGTTTCTAGGATGAGATGAAATCTTAGTGTTGTTTTAATTTGCATCTCTCAAATGACTAATGATGTTGAACATTTTTTCATATATTTACTTACCATTTTTATTTCTTTATCTGAGAAGTGTGTTTTCATCTCAGATATCCATTTTTGGTTTGAGTCTGAATTTTGAGGGCCTGAATTTTTTCAATTCTTTATATGTCCTCAAATTCATTTGGACTTAGGAGAGACCCAGAATAGCAAATCAGTCCTGGGAAACAGAGGCAGGACAGGAGACATCACAATCCCTGACTTGTAATTATACTACAGAGCTACCTGGATAAAATCAGCATGCTACTGGCTACTGGCAACAAAACAAAACACACAAACAAACAAAAAACCTCCTGAGGATTACTTAAACAGATGAGAAGGTGCAGATACAAGTATAAAGACACTCAACCACCTTGTTTTGTTTTTGACAAAGAGGCCAGACATATTCACTGAAATAAAGATAGCCTCTTTAATAAATGGTGCTGGGAAAACTGGCTCTCCACATGTCAAAAACTAAAACTAGACCCATGTCTATCACCATGCATGAGACTACAGCCAAAATAGATACACTAAACTAAAGTCCAAATGGATGAAAGATATAAATATTAAAACAGAAACTTAATCTACTGGAAGAGGAAGGTAGAAATCTTGAAGATATAGGGGTAGGCAGAGAATTCATGAACAGAAACCAAACTGCATGGGAAATACTTCAAAGAATCAACAATTGGGATCTCATTGGACTAAAAAGTTTTCTCACATCAAAAGAAATTGCCAACAGAGTAAAAAGAAACTATGAGTTGGAAAAACAAATTATCTAACTGTCCCTCACACAAGGACTTCTATCTATCTAGTACATTTAAATAACTAAAAATAAACAAGTCCCACAAAATTAAAGACACAACCCAAAAATGGGCTTCTGAGATGAATACACACTTCTCAGATGGAGAAACACAAATGGCAAATAAACATATGAAAAAAATGTTCAACATCATTGGTCATTTGAAAGGTGCAAATTAAAACACACTGAGATTTTATGTTACTTCAGAGAGAAGGGCTATTATCAACAAATCAACTGATAACAAATGCTGGAGGAGCTGTGGAGAAAAAGGAATCGTTTTCCACTGTTGGTGGGAGTGTAAACTAGTACAATCACTGTGGAAACCAGTGTGGAGAATCCTCAAAAAGTTAGAATTAGAGGTCCCATCTGACCCAAATATTTTCCTACTGGGTATTTTTCCAAAAGAACTGAAAACATCATACCACAGTGATATATGTGCACCCATGTAAGCACAATTTTTAATAGCTAGATCTTATAAACAACTCAAATGTCCCTCAACAAGGGAATGGACCAAAAAAATGTGGTCTTTTTATACAATCAAGTACTACTTAGCTATAATGAAGGATAAACAGGAGACTTTTATAGGCATGTGGATACAACTAGCAACCATACTCATAAATGAAATAAACCAAACATGTAAATATGTAAATATCATATTGGCTCCCTAGTGTAAGAAACTTAAAAGAACAAATAAGATCCAAAAGATACAATAGTTATTGTGAACAGAAAAGAAACTTTCAAATGAAAAGCACAGCTGGGCTGGAGGAAAGAAGAAAAGAAAGAAAGAAAAAGAAAAAAATATATACATATATACACACAAATAAGATAGCTAAGGTAATTATTCTACTAATTTCTGTTAGTTCTTTGAAAAGAACGGTTTGTGCTTATATTATTTTATCAATTTTGCATGTCTATACCTTGTAATCTGAGCAACTACTTTGAAGACAACAATATGTGATATAGTACCTATTGTTAATTTCCTATTATCTTGTTTTGAAATTCTGATCATTTTTATTGTCTTTTATCTTTAAAATAAAAAGAGCTACATGGTCTTTTTTTTCCCCCTCAGAACCAGGGTTTGAACTCAGGCCCTTGCACTTGCACTTGCCAGGGAAGCACTTATTCTGCTGAGCCATCTCCCTGGCCCCAGAAAACAATGTTGTAAAAACACTTCTAAGACATTTTTAGGATGCATATTATTTTATACTAATATGTATTTTTTGGGGGGTATTTAGTACAGGGTCTCCAGGATCTCACTACACCGATCAGACTAATAGTGATCCTCCTGTTTTCAGCCTCCCAAGTGCTGGGATTACAGGCGTGTGCCACCACACCCAGCCTTAGTATGGATTTTTGAAATAGGTGTACATCTTCTAAAATAATTCTGAAATTATTAAATAAATAAGTTGTAAAATGTCAGCAAACAAAAAAAATATAAAATACATTCTTATATAAAATAAAAAAATTAAACATTCATACTGACTGTATTCTTACCAATTTTAATTGTTCTTAACAATTTCATGTGCATTTTCAAGGTAGTGTTTTTGGTAGTCATTAGTGTTGAGTATCCCCAGTTCTCCATCTTCCAGTACGGAGTGTGATAGTAATTGCCGCCCAGCTTATGTTTTGATTAGAACATGCACTTAGTTATGTCCATTGAGCTGTGAGAACTTATTTTTTATTTTTATTCCTTTTATTTGCATTTTATATTTTTGTT